GCACAAAGAGTGGTGGGAGTGTGGAACAAGCTGGTCAGCCGTGCTGTTAAGGCCAGGTTTCTTTCAAGAAGCAGCTGGACGAGACCCTGGGATCAATTAACTACTCACTAACCAAACAAGCTAGATGGGCTAAACAGCACCTCTCATTTTTTTGGCCATTCTTCTCTTAATAAAGTCACCGCGATCTGTGATGGCTGAGGTCGCCGGGGCCGAGACGCACCTGTCCACCTCCTCCTTGCTCATGGCAGCGAAGGTGAAGCACTCCGTCACCCCGTTCACAGCCAGCAGCAGGACGTAGCCGCAGTAGCAGCGCAGGAGGGTGGGACCTGGGGAGGGGGAGAGCGCTGGGACTGGACTCGCACAGAGGGACAGACGTTGCCCTGAACCCAGACTGAGGGACAGGACACCCACAACAGTGGAAGCTCCGGCGAGTTTCACAGGACGGATCAGAAAATCACCCATGAACAGTAAATAAGAGGCTCCCTCTGACAATACAACGTTCACCTGAAGCGCAGGATGGATTTCGATCTTAAAGACTGGGCGGCAATCGCAGCTGACGGTACCGCAGCTCGTGTGTAAGGTGTGTAAACCTGTGGTATTATTTAGGAGATTCACAGTGGATGGTCTCTTTCGTTTTTTAGCAACAAGGAAAGGCACCTACATCGTGACTTAGGAACCAGGCAACGTTATTTTAACGCGAGCGAACCTGCTGTGCTGTGTGAGCACTTCTTGCACGGTTGCTGCTAAAACCGCATTCCGATCGCCCTGACGGCAGCTCACACCGGCAGACGGCCGCAGTATTCCGGACGGGCTTATCTCACGCCAGGAAACAGCAGCAGCTGGTTTTCCTGAGCCCTGCAGCACGGGCCAGCAGCCCAGCTACACTGTGGGCAACGTCCGGGAATTATGTTCTGACTGAAAACCCGGTCAGGGAGACACGGACACGACAGCGCCTAACCGGGCGATTTCGGAACACAACCCCCTCTTAGCGTCAACCTCCGGCGTGAAGTTTCCAGGCTTACTCCAGCCCCGAGAGACGTGCTGGCTGGGATTGCTGGTGTCTCTCTCCGTACTGGCCTGCTCCCCGCTCCTCTGGGATAAACCCGCCGGGACGAAGCGAAGGAAGAACGGCCGGCGCCCCCAGTTCCCCCGTACCTGTGCCGCTGCTCAGCAGGGAGCCCCCGTAGATATCGAGCGCCAGGTGCGAGTAGGCGTGGCCGAACACCGTGATGATCAGGCCAATCAGAAGCACCAGCTTCAGGAGGCACTCCAGCACGTCTGCTGCCACGGCAACGTCCTCCTGCAACGGCACGCGACGCATCACCGCGGCGGAGGGCGAAATCAGCAGGCCGCACCGCGGCTCAGGCAAGGCCTTTCACCACTCCCCTGGCAGAGTGTGGATCGCAGATCGCTCCCCGAGAGGGGCTTGGCCACTAGGGCTCTTGTGTCATAAGAACGCCGTCCTCAGATTGTGCCCCTGGGAGACAAACTGCCACTTATCTATTGCAGGGGAGCTGTACCAGAGCCCAGGACATCAAGGGCACCCCCTGGGCGGCTGGCACACCTCTCTGTGCCATCACTGTGGGTCACAGGGATTCCCAGCGGCGTCCCAGACTGTTTCGGTCTGCCGGCACGCTGAAAGATCGCTTTCACTGCTCAGGCTCTGCCAGTGACCCTTCTATTAAGGGCAAAGTTGGGCCCTTCCAGCTAGGGGGCGCTCTAGTGACTTCGCGAACGGGAAAATGAGCTGCAGGTGTGTCCCACTGCCCACCTGTCTCTCCCCTCTGCCAGCGGGCAGCGTACCTGGGGCACAGAGCTGCAGGTGTGTCCCACTGCCCACCTGTCTCTCCCCTCTGCCAGCGGGCAGCGTACCTGGGGCACAGAGCTGCAGGCGTGTCCCACTGCCCACCTGTCTCTCCCCTCTGCCAGCGGGCAGCGTACCTGGGGCACAGAGCTGCAGGCGTGTCCCACTGCCCACCTGTCTCTGCTGCCTGGCTGTCTTGCCGCGCTCCAGCACCTTGGCGAAGAAGATGTAGAAGCTCTCCTCAATGGGCAGGAAGAGGAACCGTGCCACCAGCGAGCCCAGGTTATTCACGATGTCATACACCCCTGCAGAGACAAAGGAGAACTGGGCCAGGCCCGACCCACAGAACTGCAGCAAGGGTGCTCCACTGTCACAGCTGTTAGGTAGGTAAGACGCCAAGTATGTAATTAGGAAGTTAGCTCTGTCCACGTCACTGTTTAAAGTTAGCGGTAGCCTTAGGTCTCTCATCGTTATAAAATAGTGAGCTGATGAAAAACGCTGTACTAATTTGATCAGGAAGTGGCTCTGAGTGAAGAAAGCACGAGCACATCCAGAGCTCAGCCCTGGACTGAGACACGGCGTGTTCGGACGACGATAAGCTCACTCACCCTGGTCTCCGAAGTCCAGCACGTTCAGGAAGGTCATGACGTAGCGTTCGCCTTGAATACAAGAAGCCCAAGATAAAACGCTTTTTGAAATCGTGCCCGAGACCCCAGGAGGGTGTAGAGGAAGGACATAGGAGGAGCGAAAGACGCCTCACAGATTCCAGATGTTTAGACTCCTCTGAGTCTCCCGTCTTGCTGTCACAGAGACGGGGGCGTAACCTCCTTCCGCTCTGCGCGGGCTGGCCAGCGGCGACGGGGGTGTGGGGGTGCAGACGGCGCCTCGTGATTCCTACCTTCTGTGAGGATCTGCTTGAGGAAGGACTGCTTGAAGAAGCTCCAGGTCAGCCTGGCCAGCCTCCCATTCAGCACCGGCTGCACAGACACACACAACAGGCGCACCGTTAAACTGGGGGACACCTGCCAGAGACACCTGCTACAGGGCCCATCCAGCTCAGGGGGTGGGGCCTTATCCAGCCTACAGTCAGAGAAATACCCACGGACTGGGACACCGGACTGTCGGAAGTTACTCAGTCAGAGATTCCCCATCCTGGTCGTTATGATCACACAGCCTGTGCTCGTCTATCTCAGCGAGCTCTGAATCGCATTCTTCATTTCTTATCCGTTCATTAGTAGAATGCAAAACCTTTATTCTTACTATTATTTTCCACTCTTAAGCAGCAGAAGACGGCGAGCCGGCTGTGAATTTTAATTAGGATCTCGAAGTCCGCTGGTTCCCAGGAGCTGGGGAGCAGCATAAGCGTTGCGATTTCGATCGAGTGGTAACTTCAGCGACTACGAGCCGGGACAGAGAGTCGGGGTGCGCTGGGCGGTGTGGGGTGGGGGTGGGGCTGCTCCCTACCTCTCCGTCCACCCTCGCGGGCAGGAGCTCTCCAAGTCTGCGGAAGGGGAACGGCTTCCTGTCCGCGTCCCGGGAGCGCAGGAACCTGGCGAAGTACAGGGTGTAGCAGAGCAGCAGGCCGCCCGTGTAGACCAGCTGCGAGACACACAAAGACAGAGGCCCTGAGCGACCCGCTGGCGAGGCCTGGCCTGGCCTGGCACCCCGTCCCTGCTCCCAGCAGCGCTCACCTGGGCCGCAGAGAAGATGTACAGCCCCCAGCGAGGCACGCACACCACGAGGGCCACCGTCAGGCCGCACTTGGCCACGATGGACAGACTCTCCGCCACCACCTGCGGGGAGAGGGAGACAGGAGTGGGCAGGCGCTGGACCGCCAGCGCTGTGAAGCAGAAGAGAAGACACTGCGGAGAGCATGGCTGCCCTGCGGCCGGTACAGGTCAGTTCTCCTCCCTGCAGCCCTTCAGACGGACCTTTGTAACAGTACCAGGTCAGTACCTGAGAGCCTGAGCAGAGCAGCAGAGCAGCAGAGCGGCCCGCCGAGACTCGGGTCGGGCTGGGTCGGTACCTTGAGCCGGACGAACATGTGGGCCTGCGCCAGGACCCAGAGGGGCTCGGCCAGCAGCTCCTGCACGGCGGCCAGCGCGAACAGCGCCACTGCGGCCGGGTAGTGAGGGATGGCGTCGGGATCCGGCGACTCCAGCAGCCACAGCCACACGGCGCCAAGCAGGACAGACCACAGCACTCCCAGCGGCACCCTGCACAACGGCAACCAACAGCCCCGGCCTCAGCACCCCGGCCTGGCCTCGCCCAGCCCCTCCCACAATCCCACAGCCCGCGACCCCGCAGCTTCTCCAGCACACCACTCCCCCAGACCAGCTCTCCCGAAGAAAAACCAGGACGCAGCTCATCACCTGAAGCAGTGGGGCGTCGCTGCCCCATCGCTGCCACACATCACACTTCCTTCACAAGCCCATTCCTCACGGCACAGCAGGCGTTCACAGGGCCCAGCTGGACACTGGGGCTCCTCATGCTGCCCTGAGACCCGGCGGCAGTCTGCGCTCGGCAGGCCGTGTGACACACGGATCACAGCCCAGAGCAGCAGCGGGCTGACGTCAGGGGGGAAAAGAGCGAACGGCTCACTCATCTTCAACACTTCCTTTTCCTCCACACGCGGACCAGTCTGCATGGAGCACCGCTCGCCGCCCCCCTGCGGCAGACTGTGTACCGCGGCACGCACAGCAGAGCTGTCACACCTGCGCCCACACGCTCGGACTGAGCCCCGCGCGCAGAAAAGCACTGTCTAACCCAAGACTGCTGGCGATTTCGAATCCCCAAGAAATAATACCATATCCGCTCTAGCCTAACATCGCCCTGCTGTTGGACACTGAAAGCACACGCTAGACAAATTGTGGGACTCACGTCAGCCACAGCAGGTTGACCACTTGTCTCCAGTTCTGCTGGGCACTCCCACTCAGACAGGCCCTGCGGAAGGCCTCCCTGGACAGGAACACGACGGTGGAGTACAGCAGCGTCAGCCTGCGAACACACGGAGCCATCAGTCACTCACTCGCCCTCCTGCACGCCGGCACGCTACCCCTCCGCAGGGCGCCACTCCTCACCTGACGTTGACCACTCCTATAACCTCTCTGGACAGGAAGCGCAGGGTGAAGGCGTTGAGGACGAAGGTGAGCGCCCGGAACAGCACCTGCGGCAAAGGAACACGACAGAGTTTCAGCTCACGCCAAGAGTGGCGGGGGTCTGGAACAAGATATCCAGACCCTTTTCCAAAAGCGCAACCCCAGGATCCTCCGAGACCATCCAGTCAATTAGCCGCTATCAACCAGATGAGATCAAGTTCCAGATCTCGTTTACTAGGTTTCTTCATACTGCACACACTGCTGTCTTCTGAAAACTCCTGATTTGCAACTTTGAGTGTCGTTTCACAGGAAGTGGGTATTATTTTACTACAAACTTCTTAAATGTCTCGATAAATACTGTAGAGATATTATCATCTCGTCTTCAGGTAGGGTTCCTAAGCCATCGCAGTGGGATGTTTGAGACTTGGACCGCGCATGACCCTCCTCGGGGAGTCGCTGGTATTGACCAGGACTGCGCACTGTAGTAACGGCTACTTAACTCTCCCCCATGTTTACTCGGGAGCGCAGGGGGGTCACAGTCTGAAGAGCGTACCTGCAGCAGGACATTGTAGGAGGCGAGAGCCGTGACGCTCTCCAGCACGTCCCGGGAGCTCATTTTCAGCTCTGTCCACCAGCGCCTCCGGGCCGCCGAGCTCAACTGTCGATTTAAGAGCGCACCCCGGGACCGCTCATTACCACACTCAAAATAAAGGACTACAGCACGAAACTACTCTTCCTGGGTGGGCTCAGCGCCTCATGTCTATTCAACACGTCGCCTTCACTTCCTCCTGCTGACTTCCGTACACAAGCCTGGGCAGGCGGGGCAATGACGTCATCAGACTGCGCCCGGAGCACAGAGATCCGACACCAGCCAGCCTCAAGACAGCACTGCAACTCAGAATCAACCACATCACATCACAGCACAGATCAAACAGCAATATCTCACACAACATAAACTGGAATGCTACAGAACCCTCAACAGACAATACACACTAGCCGAATATTTGACCAAGATAAGAAACAACAAAAAGAAACCGACCCTCACGAAGTACAGGCTCAGTGACCACAGCCTGGCCAGAGAAACTGGGCGACACAGGCAGACCTGGCTGCCCAGAGAGGACGGGCTCAGTGACCACAGCCTGGCCAGAGAAACTGGGCGACACAGGCAGACCTGGCTGCCCAGAGAGGACAGGCTGTGCTCCCACTGCCAGCGGGGAGAGATAGAGACAGAGGTGCACTTCCTACTGCACTGTGACAGATACTCTGGGATTAGAGAAACATTCTTCCCGAAATTCAGAAACCTAATCCCAGAGTTCCCAGATATACACGTTAATACACGCGATTATTTCCACGCAAACCTCATGATTGTTTTTTTTAGTTTATACACGAGTAAGCCACCAATCAGAATTCCAACCACCATATATATGAAATGGTCGTATAGCAGTAATACCTGCATTTTCAAACAGCATTTTATGCAAATGTAAAAGATACATAGGAGTACAGTTAATGATTTCTGCGCACCATATCTTGGTAGATTTTGCTATAAATAAACTGAGTTGTGAATCTTTTGTGCCGCCGAGCCCACAGCGCTCTCGGGGTCCCATTCCAGCTGAGATCTGCATGACTTTATTGGTTCAATCATTTGCTTAATTAGGACAATTGAGCTTCTGTTTCAGGTCTGGATTGTGGGAGTGTGGAACAAGCGGCTCAGCCATGTTGTTGAAGCCGGTACCCTGGTTTCCTTCAAGAAACAAGAAATCCAAGAGGACTAGATGAAGCGAATGGCTCTTTGGATCCTTTATCATGCTCTCAGGTTTTTATGAAAGAGACCTTCGTGCCTCCTTTTTGAAATAAAAATCAAGTATACACAGTAAAACAACACAATTATGGTTTGCTCAACAGTAGTTGTTTAGTGTTGAAATACTGTATTGACACCCAGATAAGATCATGTGTAAATGTTTGACAACATTGCGTCATTTCCGTCTAGTCAGCTTTGTCCGCGAGCTCTTCGCTTTCTGGGAGGGGTGCAGCGTCGCGGTCCGGCCACAAGGTGGAGCGCTGACCGAGTCATTTTTCATGCACTTCGGTTGTTTAAAGAGAACTCCAAGTCGGAAAGAGATCGTTCAGATTCAGGATCAAGTGTTGTTCAGCGCGATCGTTATTTTTAGTTACAGCGTGTAACCTGAATCCTTTGCTTTCAATGTATAGCTTTTGCAAAAAGTTCATCAGTTTCGCAAAGGATTGAAAACCTATTAAAACGTTTCAGCTAAAATGGAAATCGTTTTTTTCTGTGTGCTGAATGCTGGTTCTGTATTTATGTAAAAGAGAAAACAGTGTCACTCTGAAGGAGCGCAGACAGCAATCCCCAGAGCCGAGCCAACCTCAGCTGCTGCTGCAGTAACCGACAGTGCAGAGAGAGAGTTTCCTGTCGGTCCGTGCCGATCCTGCTCTTCATCCTGATCCCAGAGGATCAGACAGATCCGGGTGAGGAAGAGGAAGAGGCTGGAAGACACCCCCCTGTCGTCAGTCTCCTGCGGTCTCTGGGAGCCACTACTCTGGGGGTGGCAGAGAGAAACTACTAACAAAGCCAAGGAAGGAGAATGCTTCCAGCCACAGCAACACACACCACAATATACACACACCACAAGACTGACCTACACATCACAGTATACACACCGCAACACTGACACACAC